CGACTATCTGGTCAAGCCGTTCGAGCCGGAAGCCTTGATGGAGAAGGTACGCTCGGCCGCCCTGATCGGCCGCGACCGCCGCCGGGCACGCTGCCTGCGCCACGCGCTGCGGCAACGCCTGTACGATCTGACACCGCGCGAGCGCGAGGTGCTAGAGCGCCTGATCGGCGGACAGAGCAGCAAGGTGATCGCGCGCGCGCTCGACATGTCGCCGCGCACGGTGGACACCCACCGCACCCGCATCCTGCGCAAGTTCGAGGTCGAGACGACCTTGATGCTGATGAACCGCTTCGCCGATAGCCACTTGGATCCCGAGCTCCTACGCGAACAGGCTAGCCCGAAAGTCGGCGACTCCGCATAGGGACAGCAGTCGAATCCGTTTTGATGCGGATTTTCGCCGGGAAGCCGCTCCGGCGGCCGCTCTTTCTTGCAGAAGGGGGTACGTGATCACACCGATTCCGCCCCTTACGCCCTTCAATTAGACATAATGATATCCAAAGCGGCGAAGCGTATCGCCCAAAAGCACCATTTTGGCTTGGCTCTGCCGCCCGTGCTCTTTCCTGTCCGCGGCGGCGGGCGAAATAGGGAGCCTTCAGGTAGGATGAGCCAGACCATTTCCAGGGAAATCCTGATCGTCGATCCCAGCCCACTGTTCCGCGAAGGGCTGCGGCAAATGCTTGCGGAAGCCGGACTGGCGCTCGCCGAACCGCAGACCTCCCTGGCGGCGGCCGAGGCCGAGCTCGCGCGCGGCCGCGCGGGCCTGCTGCTGCTCGGCTACAGCGGCGATGGCGGCGACCTGTGCCAAGAGCTGGAGGCCATCAAGCAGCGCCACCCGGGCCTCAAGGTCGCCGTGATCTGCGACCGCGATGCCGCTGCACTGCTTCCGCGGTTCTGCGCGGCCGGCGTCGACAGCGTTCTGACCAAGGACATCAGCGCGGATCGGCTGGCCCGCTGCCTGGAACTGATCCAGCTCGGCCAGCGCATCCTGCCGAACGACTGGATCGATCAGATGCTGGTGCGCCGCCGCGGCGCAGCGGCCAACGACGACACCGCCGGCGCGGTCGACGTCCCCCTGTCGGAGCGCGAGCAGGATATCGCCCTGGGCCTGGCCGAGGGCCTGCCGAACAAGCTGATCGCGCGCCGCCTGGGGATCACCGAGGCGACCGTCAAGGTTCACGTCAAGGGGCTGCTGCGCAAGATCCACGCGCGCAACCGCACCCAGGCCGCGATCTGGGCGGTGCGCCGCGAGACGATCTTGCCTGCTCCGGCGATGATCGCCGCCGCCGAGTGACGCCGAGTGACGCACTGCCCCGGTCCAGCCGGACGGCAGGGCCCGAAGGACGAAATCCCGAGGACGCCCCCCGAGGACGCCCCCGAAGACGGTCGGGCCGCACGCCCGGTTGTGCTCAGCCGCGCCGCCAGGCGGCGACCGCGGCCGCGCGGCGCAGGCCGAGCGTAGCCTGCTCCAACGCCTCGGCGGCGCCGGGGTCCTCGGGTCGACAGGCAAAGCGGTGGGCGGCCAGGCGATAACGCTCCCAAGCCTCGCGGCGGTAGCTGGCCGGACCGTCCGTGGCGGCTAGGGACGGCGAGGCAGGTTCGTGCAGCAGGACCGGGTCCGACGACATCCAGAACTCTCCCAATCGCGTGCGATGATCCGAATAGCGGCGTCCGGAACTCCCCTCTTCGACCCGAACCAATGATGCCAGAAGCGCCCGTCGGGCACACGTAATCATTTCATGACATACGAGGACGCACCGCCCCGGATGGTGAAGCGCCCACCATCGCCCCCACCCTCGCCCCCCCGCCATCCCCCCGCTATCGCCGACGCTTCCCGGCCGCCGCCCGGGCGGAAACCAAACGTGATTTTCCTCGCCGTGCCGACGGCGTTACCCTGGGCCGCATGAACGAGGGCACGCGAGGGGATCACCGCTACACCCTGGCGGAGGAGATCGTGCACGCCGCGTTGCACGGCGTCGGCGCCGTGGCCAGCCTCGGCGGCCTGGTCTTCCTGCTTTGGCTGGCGCTCGAACGCCAGAGCGACGCCGCCATCCTCTCGGCGGTCATCTACGGCGGCAGCCTGGTCGTGCTCTACGCGGCCTCGACCTTCTACCACGGCCTGCCCGAGGGACCGGCCAAGCGCCTGTTCCTGCTGTTCGACCACTGCGCGATCTACCTGCTGATCGCCGGCACCTACACGCCCTTCACCCTGCTGGCGCTCGATCCCGAGGTGGGCCGGGCGCTCTTCGCCGCGGTCTGGGCGCTGGCCCTGGCCGGCATCGCGCTGGAGGTGGCCACCCGCCTGCTGCCGCGGGGGCGGCGGCTGGTCTGGCTGTCGGTGCCGCTCTACCTCGGCATCGGCTGGCTCGGCCTCGCCGTGGCGGGCGAGGAGATCGTCGCCGCGCTGCCGCCCACGGCGCTGGAGCTGCTGGTCGCCGGCGGGTTGCTCTACACCGGCGGCGTCGGCTTCTATCTCTGGCGCCGGCTGCCCTACCACCACGCCGTCTGGCACGCCCTGGTGCTGGCCGCGAGCGGGGCGCACTTCGCCGCCGTCGCCGCCTACGTCATGCCGGCGGCCGCCTGACCCGGCGGCGCGGGCCGGAGCGGCACGGCGGCACCTGCCGCGAGATCGGCGCCGGTTACCGGCGCCGGCGAGCCGGCTCGCCCGGCGCGCGATCGCGTGCCGGCTTGTCGACAAGCGTGACAGGCCGCGCCGGGCCGGCTCAATCCATGATCGAGTAGCCGCCGTCGACGAAGGCGATGGTGCCCGTGGAGGTCGCGGCCTCGTCGCTCGCCAGGTAGACCGCCATCGCCCCGATCTCCTCGGTGGTCACCAGGCGATGCTCCGGCGCGCGGGCGCGGGCGCGCTCCAGCAGGCTGTCGAAGCGGTCGAGGCCACTGGCCGCGCGGGTCAGCAAGGGCCCTGGCGAGATGGCGTGCACGCGGATCCGCTTTTCGCCCAGCTCCGCCGCCAGATAGCGGGTGCTGGCCTCCAGCGCCGCCTTGACCGGCCCCATCAGATTGTAGTGCTGCACCACCTTCTCGGCGCCGTAGAAGCTGACGGTCATCAGGCAGCCGCCGCCGGCCCGCTCCATCAGCGGCTCGGCCAGCCGCGCCATGCGGATGAAGGAGTGGCAGGAGACGTCCATCGCCTGGGCGAAGCCGGACTGGCTGGAGTCCACCACCCGCCCGTGCAGGTCTTCCTTCGGCGCGTAGGCGATGGAGTGCAGCAGGAAGTCGAGCCGCCCCCAGCGCGCCTCGATCTCGTCGAAAACGGCTTCGAGCTGGCCCGGCTCGCGCACGTCGCAGGGCACGACGATCTCCGCCTCCAGCCCCTCGGCCAGCGGACGCACGTGAGGCTCGGCCTTGGCGTTCAGGTAGGTGACGGCGAGATCGGCGCCCTGGCGCCGGAGCTGACGCGCGCAGCCATAGGCGATGGAACGGTCGTTGGCGATGCCGACCACCAGGCCGCGCTTACCGGTCAAGGAGAACATGGACATCCCTCTTCGCAGGTGCAGCAAAGCCGGCAGACTAGGGCGCGAGACTGAATACAGAATGAAGATGCGGTGACATTCGCCCGAACGCGCCCTCGCGCTTGGGAGGTCACGCGAATTAACCTCTAGGTCGGCGCAACTCACACGCGTTATCTCTACCAGAGCTAGCGCCTTTACCGGGCATGCCCGCGGAGTCCGGGAGGCGCCGCGCCCGAGAGGAGAAGGGGACTCAAACGATGACTTTGGCTGAACTTGACCTGACCCCGTCAGGGCCGACTCAGATCGACGGGCGGCGCGCGCAGGCCCTCGCCGAGACCGGGGCGCGCCCCGCCACGCGGACCTGGCCGCCGGTCGACCCGAAGGCCGCCGCGATGACCGAGAAGCTGGCCCGGATCTGCGAGACCGCCGGCCTGCTGCTCGACCTGCAGATGGGCTCCCAGGCCTGGATCGACGCCATCGCCGAGCAGGGCGGCTGGGTCAACCCGACCTTCGACCCGCTGCAGTCCGAGGTCGACGAGACCACCACCGGCTCGGTGGTGATCCGCGACGGCGACGGCCGCTTCCTCGCCTGCAACGCGGTGCGGCTGTTCGAGACCGACAGCTTCGTCGCCACCATGCGGCGCGGCGAGCTGTTCCACCGGCCGGGCCACCCCAACAGCACGCCGCTGCAGCCGATCCTGCCGGCGGGTTACGATCTGGGCGGGCGGATCTCCTACTCCGGCGGCACGCTGGTCGACCCGGCGGCGCGCGGCAAGCGGCTGGCCCTGCTGACCACCCGGCTGGTGCGGCTGATCGGCGAGCAGGTCTTCCGCGCCGACTGGCACGCCGGGCACATCTTCCACACCCGCAGCGGCGAGATGCCGGCCAAGCCCTACGGCTTCCAGCGCATCACGCCCTGCCTGGAGGCTTTGACGATCCCCGAGCGCCCGCAGCCCCAGACGCTCTACCTGGTGGAGCTCAGCCGTGCCGAATTTCGCGAGCAGCTCGCGGCCGACCTGGAGCGGCTAGAGGCCGAAGGCCGCGAGAACCTGGACGACCTCGCCCTGCTCGCCTGAGGCGGCCAACGGCAGCAGCGCCAGCAGCCGCGCGCCCGCCGCCGTGGTCAGGCGGTAGCGCGCGGGCCGGCGATGCAGACGGGGACCGGCCGCAGCCCGCCGCAGTGCGGCGGCGACCTCGGAGGGCTGACGCGCGGCCTCGGC